ACACAGAACTCTTCCCTGTGATGAATGAATGAATGGATGGATGAGGATGATGATGTGTTGGATACGAATGGTGTGATTTATGGAGAGGATAACATGCAAAGGAATTTGAAATTTAAATATTAAATATGAATGTCCAGTGTTATATTGCATGATGTTTTCTATGATTTGTTTTTAGCTTGAAAGTAATAAATGGACATGAACTTCTGAATATCTGGGTGTTTTTTAAAAATGCCTGTTGCAATAATGTTAAGTTATTTTAGAGGTGGAACCAGCGAGTTTAAAGTCTATCTCTGAAAAAAATTCTGAAATTATGCAAACTGAGCCCAAAAATGTAAAATTATGCGATTCTGTTAATTTTAACAAAGAATGATACTGGAAAATAAGAAATTATGCAAAAAATGATCAAATTTTGCTAAATTATGCAGGGTGCATAAACCACGGGGACAGATATGGAACCACTGGGCACAACTTAAGTAAGTGTATTGGTTTTAACCCTAAAATAGTTAAATTGCAGTTGAGGATTCACTCCCAGACTGAACTTAGCAGGGGAAGCCTATTACTTGGATACCTAGCCTTATAGACATCTAAGGAAACAGTTCGATCTCCTGGCGGAAGAAGCCTTATCCCTCCTGTTGGGGTCATTGAAGATTACCCTCACACAGATGGTATTTATAATACAAAAGGTCAAAAGTTTGTGGGAGGAACAACGGAGCAAACCAAAGAATAATAAACTGCACAATTTAACCCTACCCGTACGCCCTGATGTCATTTTGTACCCCCGGGGTTGTATTCTCCACATTTTAGAATACTTCTAGTACGAAGATCTCTTTGAAACTTTCAGTATTTCTCAAAAAATCATTTTTGACTGACTGCTATGCTAAGCGTACTGATCGGATTAACGAGTAAATTTCCTCTTTGGAAAGTGGTGTCACAAAGCTCCCCACGTCGTATGGATACGATAGTAAAACACGACGTATGGTTAGGGTTAACACTTTGTAGTCACCCAGCCAGCAGTACAAAATACCCCATCTGGTCACCCAGCCAGGAGAGCCACTGCAACAGACTTTTCGGGCCTGGCACAGAACTACGCCAGGTGACCGGAATGGATAATTGTCACCGGCGCAATTTTGTGCCTAGTGACCGTAAAATGTTAACTAAATGATATAAATCGTGTCAATGAGGGCTTAAAAACACCTACCACCTATGCCAGGAAAAAACAAAGCTGGGAGTGTTCTTTGGCCTACACTACACCATTTGTTCACTTTCATCTGACTGCATTAAAAAAATTCTAGCTCATTTATTAATTGACCAATGCGCACGGAACTTTGAAAGGCACTCCTGTAGGTCAGCAACTAAACAAATATATATATTTTTTAAAACATCTTGATCCGCTGAAGTTTCTTTATTTGGGCCCTATATTAAATACTGCCCTTTAAGTTAAAGCGTATACACAGGATCACTAAAATGTAAGGATTTACAGTAACCAATAATTCATTAAATTTTAGTGATCCTGTCTATGCGCTTTAAGGGCAGTATTTAATTTAATGATTTACAATAACCAACGTACTCATATGACCTTATGCAGCTGTGAACGCTGTAAAACTCTTACTAAAACAAAAACAGAGTAAACAGTAACCAAGCCGACAAATTGCTCATTTTTGAGACAGTGACACCAGACTTTGTGCTGTTAAAGCTAGAGAGGTGAACGGAGCAAGTGTAATTCCCTGTAAAGACTTCTCTGTTGACATCCACCCCTTGGTGCGGCGCTCATATGACCTTATGCAGTTGCTAGTGCCATAAAACCTCTACTAAAACTAAAACTATCTCCTTGCCTTATCATTTCACTTTATACATGGTTTCAACACAAAAGGATGGGGGTTTATAATTTTCTTCTAGTTCTTTGTTACTATTTTTACAAAAGAGTCAAGACAGATGTTGATTGTGTTTTAACTTTTAATATATATGTACGGTACTTTACATACACATTAATACGAAACAATTCATCGCAAAAACTGGATTCTGAGAGGTAGTATAAGTAATAACTCTACATTTGTAATCATCCCTTACTGTAAATTCAGTAAGTTTTGAGTTTTTTTGGGTTTTTTAAATTTTAAGAATCAAATGTCCAAAAAGACGCATTGAATTCATTGATCATTTCAAACATAACCAGATCCCTCATGCTGGCAAGACATGTTGGCTGCAAAGAAATACAATACAGCATGAACATAGCAAAACATGTATATCTGAGGCAATGTGGTGAAATGAGGCGCTCGTCAAAATAATGAAATCAGAAAATCTGCATTTTCCTGCCGATTTTGCTTCTTTTTTCTCAATTTTTGTTTTTTGGTTCAACACTTTTTATTAGCGAAAATCCCATTTCTGTGAATATTTCAAGGACAGAAGTTGATAAAAGGCTTTTAAAAAAAGTAAATTATTTGTTTCCAAGGTCTCTCAAGCTATTTAAGACACCAGATTTTGGCGGCCATTTCTCGCTAATTTTACCTCTGAAATCAGGCGACCCCCACCTCCTTCAATTGCAAATATATCGACTCCTATTCAGGACAGATTGGTAATTTTTGTATCGTAAACAAGACAAATGCACACGCTTTATTATAATGGTACCAATTACTCCATACCCAAAAATTGATGAGCGCCTGATTTCACCACATCATTTCAGGTCCTGAAGTTTGTTCTCAGTCCTCATAAATGACAACGTAAAAAGACAAATGCATGGCCATCTAAGACAGGTTTTTTTTAACTACTGGTTAATAAAATGTCAAATATTATAGTGGCCATGACAGCCACATTGGACAGGTTATCGTTTGAGGAAGTGCCATCATTAATGATATTTTGCCAGTCCTTTTCAGGAAACCGTATGCCACTTTTTCTTAAAATTGATTTTTTTAGCTTTCTCGTGGCCAAGATCTTTCCTTGCCAGTCTATATCTTTAATATGAGGATCGCGCTATACTGTAAATAACTTATTTATAGTCCGATCCTCACATCGAAAAAGATATGTTAGAGAAAAATCTGCAGCCAGCGAAAAGCAAAAAAGTCGATACCGGTATTAGAAAAATGTGGCACACACGTTTCTTGAACTGACCTGTCCTTATAAAAAACACAAGGGTGAAAAATGGAAATTGGCAGTCTGCACAGGTGGTTTTCTTATACAGACGGCCATCTAGCCAGGTTTTGACTACAGAATCAGGCTTGACAGAAGTACCAGCTAAGGTCAATTTTACAGGGTGTAATCTAATGAGAGTCATGGACAAGAGTTTAAGTCATAATAATAATAATATATATTTATATAGCGCATTTCCAAAAAAGTAGCTCAATGAGCTTTACATTGGAATACCCATTTTTCAAAAAAACCTTTCTTACTCCTTTCTTTCTTCTCATGCAGTATATATTAATGAACACACACACACACACACACCCACACACACACACAGACTATTTTCATCCAGACATAGGAACAAAACAACTATTAAGAAAAATAACGTTAAAAGCTTATGAAGGATAGGCCTGTAGGAACAGAACATGTTTAAGGTGGCTTTTGAAGCTATCTAGAGTTTTTATTAGTCTTAGTTTCATGGGTAATCTGTTCCACATAAATGGACCAAGATATGAGAAAGATCTCTCTCCATATGATTTGTATGATTTTACAGGTGTCACAAGTAGTAGTAGGGTGTTATCGTTCGATGATCTTAGGTTTCTCCCTGGCTTATATATACTGATAAGTTCTTGTCGATAAAAAGGAAAAAAAGTCATGGTGTCGCAGCAGAGGTAGTCTTGGTTCTATTGGTTCGGTTAATAGTGTTGACTGGTCTTGCATACAACTAAAAATGGAGTTATATTACATCTCCCCTGGATGGTTAATGTTTCCCTGACTCCATCTATCCAGGTCTTTCTCGGTCGCCCTCATGCCTTGTTGCCATCCAATTTTTTTATGTAGGCACGTTGTGCTGGATTGTGTGTTGGTAATCGTAGGAGATGTCCGAACCATTAGATTCTTTGGTGTTTGATGTGACGCAAGACATCATTTGTGCCCACCATTTTTCGGATTATTGAGTTTCTAATTTTGTCTCGCCTTGTCTTGTTTCTGCTTTCTCCCATATCATATATACAAAATGACAATGTCTTCAGATTTATATCGATAAAATTACCCCAGAACACATTGAAAAACCTATTTTCAAAGCCAGCAGCCAGTGTAATTAGATAATAAAAGCAAAAAAGGAGCGAAATGCAGGATGTTGGTGCATAATGTTAATGTTCTTCAGTTATTATCACAGAGCACTGAGCATTATAAAACATTTGCAAGGAAACCAGCATTCCTTTAACCTCAAGAAAATGTATGTATGAAGACATTCTTATTGCTTTTCATCGGAGAACTTTGGGTTATCAATTGCACACCCAACAATAATATTCTTCAGATGAAAACATCTATTACGAGGTACATTGGTTTCCAAGAAATTAGAAATTAAAATAGACTATATGATGGAATTACATAAACGGTACCTATATATACATTAATATATTTATATATATATATACATATATTTTAAAGAAATACAGGTATAGAAAGGTATCATAATATAATAAAGGAGCTGACTCAAAATTTTGTACACCTAAACGCTTGGAGCCCGAATGATAATAACAAAATTCTGATGACATTAAAATGCGAAGTGTACATTAGATTCTTGCAGTTGCGAACCTTTGAGTACGGAACAGTGAAGGGTATTTTCAGAGACAGAAACAGAGAGAAAAAAGAGGGTAGAGACACAGAAGCTAATTGAGAAAAGTGGATCAGAAAGACTGAAAAAGAGAACGAGAAATTATTTCATAAATTTAATACAATAAAGACAAAAATAGTTTAATACAGTTTGCAAGCCCTTCAGTGCTAATTAAATGATGTTCAGAAAACTGAAGGGGTAATGTACTACTCTGGATGTGTGTACATGTGTGAGTGTGTGCGTGTGCGTGCGTGTGTGTGAGTGTTTGTGTGTGTGCGCATGTGTGTATAAAATATATACACATACACACATTATAAGTCATGAACTTTCCATTTTACAAAAAAGTCAACTATTTCACCACTTCCTTCATGAGAATTAATTCACAAAAAGCAAGAAAAAATGATTAGTTCCTTTACAAGTAGGAAATCCCTGAGATATTGATGAAAACATAACTCTTGCAAAAATTCATGATAAAAATGAAAGTACTATATATATAAAAAAGTTTTAAAAATAAATATGCTGATCTCCAAGCATGTAAGAAGACACTGCGTACCGACATCAATATCAAATTGGTCTGGCCATTTAGTGCCTTCTTGACAATTGCATAGTGCACATAAATGTACAGTAAAGCCTTGGTATAACGTATGCACCTTAAAATATACTATCAGCCGTAACGATCACTTTCTGAAGCCTGCGTCCCATCTTGTATTTTTACTCTTTATGACCAACACACACCTCGGCTAAGACTTTCAAGACCTTGGTCTGAAAGAAGTATGTTTTTTGTTATACCATGGTTTTACTGTCTATATATAAGCTGTACCATAAATTTGAATAAATTAAATGAAGAGCTAATAAAATGAAACGCACAAGTGACAACGAAAGCTTGCAATATAATATCATACAATGTACAAACTTGTTGATCTGTTATTGGTGGGGAAGGCTTGGTGGAATGAACTCTTTTTTAGCTACCGTTCTAATGATAAAATAGAATTCTAAACATCTTTCCCGCAACACCTCATGATAAACTGAACAAAAAGAGCCAGCCCCACAAAGATGAACATGAGAGGAGCGAAGAGAATAGAGAGGAATGTAGCTCCGTTGCATCCGTACCGTCGTGGTTTGCCGTGGATCATGAGTAGATACTGCTCAAACTGCTCGCGAGCGAGTTTGTCCTCAATGAACGGGTAGGAAGCTCCGAGCCTGCACGCAGCAGCAAAACCCGAGATTATTCCGATTTCATGGGTGTTGATGAGCGTGTAGGACCCGCAGTACCACGTGTGTTTGGTGCCCTGCACGTAGCGCCACAAGGGCACGGTGAACGCAAAATGTTTCCAGGTGTGGGAGAACTGTCTCCACCACCGCGTGAATCTCACTTTGCTCTTGTCGATTTCATCGATGGTCCAAATGTCCTTGATCTTGTCATCCAAAAAGATGGTTTGGTATATATTCCGTCCCGTGTCTTTCAAGTGGGGCTGATAGTTTGAAAGATTGAAGGACATTTCAAGCTTCGACCTGTCGTTGGGGTCAGTACGGATGAAGTACTGATCAACGTCTTTGTGGAGTTCGTAATGTTTTTCCATGTACTCATCATCTTCATGGGTGAGTGTGACATCATTGTAATACCTAACATTACCAAGAGCTTTTTTCTCCAGATACGACGGTTGCTTTAAAACTCGGAGGACTGTTTCAGCGTCACAGGCAAAGATGATTTCATCAAAGACCTCTTCATTGTCAGCATCATCGACAACGTGGACTTTACCATTCCTTCTGATGACCGACGCAACAGCTCTGTTTGCGTGATATTGGGTTTCCATTTTGCGCATAATTGTTTGATACATGTCTCTCAGTTTAGGAAATGCGAACATCTCAGGAGTTTGGCTCAAAAGACACTCAGGGTCGTAATCGAAAAGCCGTAGGTCATCATCGAGGAACACTCTCGCCACAATTGCTGCCGATACATTTGGTGTTTGATTCCCAGTGCCGAAAAATAGCGCAGTCAGAGGGAAGACCATCTCGTAGCAGAATGCATCAGAGTAGCCAAACCACTTGAGAACTTTCGAGATGGGAATAAAAATGAAGAAAAATTCTAACTTGTTTATGATCTTCAACGTGCGACCAAAGCGTTTGATTTCATCCTTCAGTCGATCGATCAGATCGGTTTTTGTGTAGTTAGTCCAGGCTGTCGGCCCTTTTCCAAAAGAAATCATCATGTGGACGGGGGAACCGGAGAAGCCGAACTCTGACATCAGATTCAGCGTGTTCCGATACGTCGGACAGCCGCCCTGGACTCCATCGTTGATAACCAGGTCACCTGGTCCTGAGACATTCAAACAAAACAGAATTTTAGTTTTAGTAAGAGTTTTACTGCATTTGCAACACAATAAGGTCATATAAGTGCTGAAGATTAGAGGTGCTACAAGAGAGTAACAATCACAAAAAAGAAGAAGGAGAGATAAAGACAATATAATACGTTTGATACGAAAGAAGAAGCAAACCACACCAGAGCACCCGCCAACCACCCACTGAACAGAATTTTAAAAACCCTGGTCTTCATATCATACAGATATGATATCAGATGAAATTCACAAATTTCAATATTTTCAGAATTCACATCTTTACTTCATTTACAATTAGAGTGAAAGTTAAATGTTTTTGTATGTTGTGTGGCATCATAGTGAAATCAGACCCAAGTCAAAATAGTGAAATCGAAGAAATCTACATTTTTCCATCTGTTGGGCAATTTTCAGCGAAATTTTATTTCTTTCAAGTTCGGTTAAAACATGTATGCATTTTTAAATTCAAAAACACTGATCAAAGGCACAAAAATGTAAATTTGTAGTTTCCAAGGACACTCCCGCTTTGGCAGTTACCAAGTTTTGGCAATCTTTTTCTCAATAACTTTACCTTTGACACCAGGAGACCGCCACCTCCTTCCTTCAATCATATCTCAACCTCTTTTCATGATGAACGGGTATATATCTTTCCTCAAGAGCAAAATAAATGAACACACTTTAAGGCAAAACCAATAACTCCCAAGACCCCGAAATTTTACAACCAGCCTGGCTCCCTAAATGTCTGGACCACTATCTGTGGTGTTGTGGTTAGGAGCTCCACTGGCACATGCAGAAGAACTGAGTTTGATTCTCCAGCGGTGAGAAATTTTACTTGAGTGTCTTAGTCTTTCTTCTGGGCTGCTGCATCCCTCTCAGCCCCAGCGGCAGGGTTGAAAGCCTCCCCCCCTCCTGAATGATCCTAATTATGTTGATCGGGGTGTAAATTCACATTAAAAAAGTCAATAAAAATCAATAAAAATAAAAGAGCAAGGGGAGGGTGGAGGTGCAGGTGGGGGGGGGGGGGCAGACAAGATAAAAAGACGAGCAGGGAAATGTTCTATTACTATTGGTCTAACAACAATATTATTGTAGTTTCCCATCTCAAGAATGAATTCAACAGCAGCTCCTGATGTGTCCTACCTTCTATATGTTCCGAAGTAGCCACACCTCCAGGAAGTGACAACTTTTCCCACACTTGAACATCAAACTTGTCCGGATGTTTCCCCAAAGCGTAAGCCGCAGCAGTCCCCGAGGCTCCAGAACCCACGATAAGGACTCGCTTGCGCTTTGTCACCAACGGTTTTCTCGCAGTGGGCGGCATGTCCAACACAACGCTGGAGTCTCCCACTTTGTTGCTTTTACTACTGGGGCTACTTGGGACGCTGCCTTCCTGAGACGGAGAGCTACTACCACCGCTGATCCTGGAATGTTGTGACAGGGTGTCTGGTTGTCTACGAAAAGGAGGAAAAAAAAAATGTAAATAAAATATAGATCTATACAAAACACACAGCGGGGACCTTAGTTCATTCACATGTTTTTGCTCATTAAATATGTTTCATTCCTGAAGCGATGATGTAGCATTCGAGACTGAGAAAAAAATGTTACAAGCGGACAATGCAAACAAAATTAAAAATGAAATTCTTGATGAGAAAAAAACCCATTGGAGTTCTCAATTCATATTTTGTGATAAAAAAAGGAGCCGAAAAAATTTGACTATGTGCATTTACATAACCAAACCTGAATAGACTTTAAGATGAAAAGACCGCAAAATTTGTGAACAGAATATTTGGCAACTAGACCAGACAATATAGAAACCACATCTGAAGCTCACCAACTTAAAATGAAATGACTGCACAGCTATATTTAATAATAAAAAATTAAGCCCATTTTGCTTTGATAATTAATAATTCTACCTAAAACAAAAAAGGGTATTAAATACCCTGATTGCGGTGACTGTTTCATGAAAAAGAATTCAGTAAACCTAGATTATTATCATTATAATTTTATACCATTTCCTATACAGTTCACAATTAAGGTTTCACCTGCAGCAATCACAGCTTGGACTCATATCCTATTAAAGAAAAAGGCCTTTGATTGATCATGCAGTGATATCATAAAACGCATCAACCTCCACACTTTATATAAGACCACAAGAAAAGCAGCTGCAGTCATTGGCCTAGGCCTACACTCAATTTTATTTGTGTTATTGCTGTTCCTTATAATCTTATCACAGCATTCATAACAGTTCTTAATTGGTCCTAGTGGCTATAGTGGAAGATCAAAGAGACCTTCTTTGCACATCTCGATCCCACTTGATATAGGCTACTTGCATACACTTGACCCTTTTTGACATAGATCTAGATCTAGATCTAAATAAGATAGTCACCGCACACATCAAGACACTTACATGATGGTACTATGGTTTTCACCTGCTGACGATGTTTCTTTCATAACTTGCGTGTCTGTGGTAGTCATATCCCTAGAGTTCACAGAATTTACACATATAGAGCAATCGTATACAAGGCAAAAAACGACGTGTCGAGCATAGATGGTTCCACAGCACCCGTTTAACTCCCTCTCCACTCACAAGACATGAGTCAATAAAATGTGATCTGCTGCGAGCGTAACCTCATCAACATAATTTCCAGGACCAAATGTGGCTTGTGGAAGCAAAGCTGCTCTTACAACAGCTAAAAAATCCCCAGACGAAAGGTTTTTAACCGTCAAGAAGACTTCTTAACCGACAAACACTTACGTTCTTAATCTTCTTTACATAATTTAATTCCAGATTTCCGTGTCACTGCCCAGGCTCACATTTCATAACACAGCTCTGTTGTTTACGTCTAGTTGACCCCAAAAAGCTTCGGGTCATAACAGGACAGGTTGGCCCACATACGTGTATTATATAAAATCAGCAAAACACCAATTACATGTATAAGGACGGGAGGGTTCAGGTACACTATCGTCGTACTATGGGGGGAGGGGGGGTTCTCCTTGAGTCATTTCTCTTTGATTTTCAGCTCTAAATAGTTATAAATATTGAATTGGAGCATAACATTCTCTCAGACTTTCTTTCGTACAACCTGATCGCCAAACTGAAAATAATTTTGTTTCGTCGGAAATAACAGCAACACAAATTTTGCGATCTTAGTTTTGAGGACACGACAGTTGAATGTAAAACTCCGACTGGAAATTGCTATGAAATTAGATCTAATCTAGCACTATACTTATAGTTATATATAGCACGACAAGAGACACTTACTTTTAACCTGTTAAAAATAATATTATAATGGTCTACGAAGCCTTGTCTACAGAGATGATCTTACATTTCAAGATCTATTCATATTTTTCACTTGGTAAAGCCTAAAAGCAGTGAAACAAACGGGCAGACTCTCTTGTGCAATGTAGTGTAGCGTTTACAGATCCTGAATCTCTCGTTTAGATCTCTAAACAAGTTAAAGACTTCTTATATTTTGAAATTTGAAATTGAATGAGTGTCAAGTAAGTTTTTTAGTTAAAGTTTAAGACTCACTTTTAACTTTTGGAGTGTCTACGTGCACGGTAATCAAGCACATAGTCTCAGTCTATATACACGGCAACCGGGCACCTAGTCTCACCTAGTCTCAGTATCTACGTACACCACACGGTAACCGGGCACCTAGTCTCCTCAGTATAGTATCTATATAACCAACACACGGTAACCGGGCACGTAGTGTCAGTATCTACGAACACTGTAACAGGGCACCTAGTCTCAGTATCTACGTACATGGTAACCGGGCACCTTGTCTCACCTAGTCTCAGTATCTACGTACACGGTAACCGGGCGCCTAGTCTCACCTAGTCTCAGTATCTACGTACACGGTAACCGGGCACCTAGTCTCACCTAGTCTCAGTTTCTACGTACACGGTAACCGGGCACCTAGTCTCACCTAGTCTCACCTAGTCTCAGTATCTACGTACACGGTAACCGGGCACCTAGTCTCACCCAGTGTCAGTATCTACGTACACGGTAACCGGGCACCTAGTCTCACCTAGTCTCAGTATCTACGTACACAGTAACCGGGCACCTAGTCTCACTTAACTAGTCTCAGTATCTACGTACACGGTAATCGGGCACCTAGTCTCAGTATCTACATACACGGTAACCAGGCACGTAGTGTCAGTATCTACCAACACTGTAACCTGAATTAAAATAAATCAATATTTGTCCTGTGCTGTCACTTGTTGAAAAAAAAAGAAAGTCATGCATCTTGTCGGGCTCGTCATCCTGACCAGTCAGTGAACTTGTGTGTGCGCGTCACATTGTGAGTACTGGTGTGGGTCACCAAAGTTCATTCAAAGTCTGTGGGCTGCGAAGTAGAGCTCCGGAATGGGGGCATTATTAATTTTTTTTAACGGAGTGTCTATGTACACGGTAATCGGGCACCTAGCCTCAGTGTCTACGTACACGGTAACCAGCAACCAGGCACGTAGTCTCAGTGTCATGTACACGGTAACCGGGCATGTAGCCTCAATATTACGTACGGTCACCGGCAACCGGGCACGTAGTCTCAGTGTCATGTACATGGTAACCGGGCATGTAGCCTCAATATCTACGTACGGTAACCGGCAACCGGGCATGTAGTCTCAGTGTCATGCACAGGGTAACCGGGCAGTTCAGAACTCCCAAGTTCAGTGTTTGTCATCTAGTGTTGCCTTCATCCCCACCCCTCCCACTACAGTACCTTAAAAAAAAATCAGTAATACCACTTTCCGGAGCCCTATACTTTGCAGCGCACCGACTTTTTATGAACTTTGGTGACCCCAACTGGTAGTCATAAAACCTAGAACTACTAATACTAAAAGATAAAGTGGATTTAACTCAACGTCAAAGAAATTGAGCCATTGGCATGCTCCGTGCATTTATGCTGGTGTCTGGAATTTGAAGTCTGTTTTTCTGGTGACGTTAAATTATATGTCCTGGCAACAGGAGAAACGTGCAGAGCATGCCATTGTGGAGGGAACTCTTTTGTCGCTGTTGAAATCAAGTGCTAGGCCTTGTGGTGGAAACTATTTTTAGTCATGAATAACTTGTACACAGCTGCCAATCTCTGAAAATTGAAAAAGAGGGAAAACTTATCTTCAACTTTAGAAGGATGTGTTAGCCTCACAGATTGAGGTTCAAAGGAGGTTGAAGCTGTTTACTTGGTGATTTTCTGCTCTACTATTCAGTTAAAAAATACAATCAAACCTTGTTGTGCAACCCCCGTATATCACCATCCCGACTTACTGCCAGACTTTGCCCAATTTATATATATATACAAAAAGGAGCACCTATGTAAACATATATTATTCAAGTTAGTTTAAGGTGTTCAGTCTGAGCCAAAACAAAGATTTGACTAAAAAACTGCCCGACGAGTGGGGGGAGGAGAGGGATCTATTTTCTTCGAATTCACTATTTTGTTGAGTTTCTCTGATTTCACCACGATGCACCATATTTAGGTTTGTGTTGACATAAACAGAGTTTGTTGTGCAAAACATTAATCAACTTGATTTTATTCAACTTTCTTTTTTTCAATTTTTTTCAGGACACCATTCCAAAAGCAGTCATTCATTCCCCTGCCCATTTGGCATCCCATGTTCGCCTGTTTGGAGATACTGATAGCAGTCTGAAAGTTCTCTCTATGTATTTCTTCAACGAGAATGACAGATTTATTAGAACCATGTGGATGTCACGAAGGAATGAATTGTATAGAAAAATTACTGTGTGAGCGAATTCCTCTGGCTGCTTTTTTATTGGAGATAGATCTACTTATATTTATGTAAACTGCCAGCAAGATTTGCACGAGTTTCAGCCTTTGAGAGACATAATGTTTAACAAGACAGACGTTTGGGATCCCTGCTTAAAGATCAAATGAGCAGTCCAAAAAAGAGTGATGGTATTATTTTCATGATTGAAATATATTTAATACTCTTGGAGAATTTCCCAACAACAATGCCAGCACAGAGCGTTTCAGAGTTCTCCCTCACACAGCACGATGCTGTCAAGTCTTGTATTTCCATAGCTACAGAGAGGTGGCTGAAGCTAAAGCAAAGGCTTTGGGCACATACATATCCTGAGTCGAGGAAGGCACCTCAGGACACTGCATCGTCACGTCAGTCAGTCCTGCTATTTCTTGGTGGTTCACAGGTGATTAGCATAATAAGAAATTTCTTGACATTGAGCAGTAAGGAAGATACAGCTGTTACTAGTTTGCTAGATGAAATAGAAAATATATGTTTGCCAAAGTTTATGCTTTTGTATGAGAGATTCAAGTTTTTTACATTATCAGATGCCAGTAAAGGTTGCCTTTGTGAATTCGCTCAAGATTTGAAGAGGCTTTCTGAATCTTGTGAGTTCTATGAGATGACGGACTCCTATATTGACGCTAGGCTCAAAGAACTAATTGTAAAAAAGAATAGTAAGGTTGATAGGAAAAAAAGAAATATAGACTTAAATGTGGTATGTCAGTCGAGCCCTGTATGTAAAGCCGGTTGTGTCAGAGGTCAAGTTGTTGTGGCAAACAAATCGTCCAATGGACTCGCAGGTAATTGCCCTGTCTCAGCAGCGGCAGAAAAGAAGTCGAGACCAAAAATTAACACCTGCGCCACGGGTCAGCGAGTCAAGAGGCTGATGACGAGATGTCGCCGGACACCAATGAGAACTGCCAAGGCCAAAGCTTTGCTGAAGTCTTTTGACTCGAAGGAAACGGACTCTGATGATGGCCACAATGTCAGTGTTAGCTCGATGGAAGAAAATGAGATGAAGATAAAGGATTCTATTGTTACGGACGCTGGAGTGGGTAATTTAACTAGTCCAGTGCCAAGAGTGTTTGTGAATATCTTAGCACGGCCAGGACCCACCAATGCATGTTGGGCAAAAGTCACAACTTCATCAAAGGCCCGTGAGAGTGGGGAAGACGAGGGTAATGTCAGTTCTACAGATGAAGGTCAACAAACTTCAGACTGTGGTCAAGAAATGAGGGGAGGGCATGGCCCTGATCCTGACTTGAGCAGTCCAGTTCCTCCTTCGATTTCTTCAGAACTCGAGAACCCAAGCAATACAAATGGTACATGCGTTATTAATGTGGACAAACCTGGAGCTCAAGTCTCGGCTAGTTTATCTTTTACAAATGTTGAACAAGACGTTGTGAATGAAACAATTTGTTCGCCTGGCAATGAACAGACTGACAAGCTTCTTCATATCAGTGAAAAGCTGAATGTTTCTAATAATAGTCGACTCAAAGTTTTCACAGTCCCTTCAACTTCAAATCGCGGTGAAAATAAGGAAAAGCAAAATACATTTAATATGAAATTTGTACATGTGACCAATTCATCTACCGATTCGAAGGATCCGGTGAAGATTTCTGTCCGCTCAGATCTTCTCGGAGTAAGCGACGTACCTAAACGGCAACCTGCGCTTTTCAGTTCTACAGTTCTGAATGGATCCTCCGCCCCAAACGGAACAACTAGAATGCTCAAGTGTGACTTTTGCAGTACTCTGTGCGCCAACAAGAAAATTCTCAAGGCCCACATGCAGACCAATCATGGCATTTCTGTGTCAGATTCAGGCCTATCTGAGAATGAAGAGGAGACGACTGCATCGACTTTGAGTGTATTTCCCTTGACCTGTGGTCAGTGTGGGGAGAGGTTCAAGTACCAGTCCCAGTTGGACATGCACGAGGAAGAGCAGCATGGGAAGAACGCCTGCACCTGCAAAGTTTGCTCGGCACAGTTCTTGCACCTTCACGCCCTGGGCAGACATTTTCTGAAGATGCATCTGACAGAAGTGTTTGTGGATGGGGAAGAAAAAATAAAGGAAGGGGACAGGTTTTGCTGTAAAGTTTGCTCCAAGTCGTTTCTTCAAGCTCATAACCTGAAGCGTCACTTCCTGCGTGCTCACCTGGATGTGGTAATGCTCGGGGACCCGGGCGGAGTTTGCTCGGTGTGTGGCAAAACTTTCAAGTCCAGCAACTTGCTGGTGAGGCATGAGGCTATGCACTCACTGCAAAGGATCCCTTGCAATATTTGTGGGGCAAAGTTCATCAGCCAGAAAAAATGTGATCACCATAAAGAGATAAGGCACAGCGAGACATCCTTACAGAAACCGTTTATTTGTGAGGTGTGTGGGAAAGCGTTTCGCTTCCAGTGCTTGCTGAGGTACCACAGTAGAAAGCATTGCTCTGAAAAGCCTTTCCAGTGCGGTGAGTGTTCAGAGTCTTTCAAAGAAAAGAAAACCCTGGAGCTTCATGTAAAAGTTCATCGCGGCGATCCTCCCTTCAAGTGCCCCACGTGTCAAGAGGCTTTCATCCACAAAGAGCCGTTCCTGAACCACACGAGAAAACATAGCGGTGAGAAGCCTTTTGTTTGTTCGCAGTGCGGCAAAAGTTTCAGGATACAGCCCGCTTTATCAGCTCACATGAAGACTCACGACGCAAATCGACCTCGGCCCTACAAGTGTTCTCTGTGCGGCTACACCTGCGAACGGCGCTACTTCTTAGTGAAGCATAGCCTCAAACACAGCGGCCTCAAGCCGTACAAGTGTCCTGTGTGCCACGCTGGGTTCACCGCTGCCTACGGGAGGAACAAACATCTGAGGAGGACACACGGTGTCCTGAACCCAAAAGCTATGATGATGTCAGGAGAGATGAAAGGAACTGTTGGAGGTCAGTCTCCTCTTAAGCTTGCGGCCTCTGTTCGGGTGACGGAGGCTGAGGGTAACAATACCACGGCTGAGGGTAACAATACCGCCACCAGCAGCAGCGATAGCACCAACATCAGTGGCGGGTTCAACAGTTTTTCTGCAGCGCAACCAGTGAGTTCTTCTCAGGAAACCAACATGGCTGTCTGTCAGGCCTTACGCACTCTGAGAAACGAAGCCCCGCCCCCTGATCCAATCCCAATTTCTGGCCTAGCCCCTCCTCCTATTGGCTCAGTCCCACCCATTCGCACGGTCCCGCCCCCTGGCCCAGTCTCGACTGCTCCGCAGGTCATACCGGTCTACCCCGGCAGTCACACGCTGGAGAGCCAAGCCTTCCAGCAGCCCGCGGTGTTGGTTCCGGCGCGGCGCGGAGAACCTGCTGTGACGGTCATCCAGGAGTACCCCGGTGTGTCGGGGCAGCGTTGTGTGGGCTACAGCGACGCAGAGCCTCGGTCGGCCAGGTGGGACACCAACACTCAGCACAGCGACTTCTGGTGATGTTCACTATGTACACAGTGACTTCTGGTGATGTTCACTATGTACACAGTGACTTCTGGTGATGTTCACTATGTACACAGTGACTTCTGGTGATGTTCACTATGTACACAGTGACTTCTGGTGATGTTCACTATGTACACAGTGACTTCTGGTTATGTTCACTATGTACACAGTGACTTCTGGTGATGTTCACTATGTACACAGTGACTTCTGGTTATGTTCACTATGTACACAGTGACTTCTGGTGATGTTGTAAAGTTGTAAGATCTCCAGAAAGGTGATGTAGGTTGAAGTCATTTGTTACTTTCCTACAACTACACACATCACACAGATTTATCGTCGAACATGGCGTAGGCCTAGCCTGAAGCGCACTGTACCAGCAAGTGAATAACACTTAAAGCAACCGAACATGTATGTATGGCCTACGCAGTTAAGTATGAACTCAAAACGAAGCGTGAGCAAGCATCACGTGCCGGTGAACGACTTGTAGTAATGCTACAATGTTCACTACACAGTGTCATGTGACGCTCACTACACTACATTTGATTTTCTCACCTCTTACAAGTTTGATCATCTCTAGTCTCTTTCTTTTTTGGCAGGAAAATGATGCATAAGATGTCAGACATTCGTCGACCACTCCACTTCGTTTCTGTTTCTCTGTATATATGCTATTATTTGAGGATATCAGGTCTATTTTGAAACATTGTCACTTGTCAAACATGATGTTGACTTCAATTTTGTTACAAACATTCTGATCTTTGCTCCATTAGCTCAGCTGGTACCATGCTCAATTATTGTGCACGTGACTTTAGTTTCAAAATTCAAGGAAGATGTTCCTCTTCTTTATTTATTTGAGGAGTTTACGAGGCTCTCTCGTGTTTAAATAACCTCATACTGTTGATGTACTCCTCCCATAAGCTGCCAAATGGTATGTCAAAAGCATATATATACGTTTTTGAGGGTCTGAGTAGGGGGGGGGGGGAGTATTCATCTGTACAGTTGATTGTCTTGGACAGGTGGCTGGCTGTAAGAGCAGGTTCAAATGTAGGATTTGGTCTACACTAATGTTTTAAAGGGAAATTGTTCTGAAGCTTTTCTCAACTTAATTCTCAGAAAGTATTCAGGTCTCGGCACCGTTATGATTGGGATGATAGAATTTAAGAATAAAGTGGGAAGGAAGTACAGTTGAAACTGCTATAATGGCCACCTGTTTTTAAGACAAATCATCTGTGCTAGTGAGCAATTCACATTTAAACCACCCCCCCGCCCTTGTGGTTTTTTTTTCACATTATGACTATAATGACCATCAATAATATCAATAATTTATTTACAGTACAGAGGCACCAGCCATCCATGTCTAGGTACTGTTTTAGCCTAATATGATTGTAATGGCACTATATAAGATAGCCACTTTTTTCTTTGACAATGAGTGGCTGTCTTAATAAGTTTTAGTTTATAAGGTTTTTAGTTTGGTTCTTCATCATCACAATCGAAAGATGTCAGGTTGATTTTCTTGAGGGGAAATCTATTTTACCAAATAAGTTGATCTTTTTGCTAGGATTTTACTCCTGACCTTGTCTGGGTATGAGTTGACAGGCAGGTTTGAAGCACCCTCACTAAAATGAAATTTGTATCGGGGCTGAATACTTTTACTATCCCAAACCTTTTCTCTGAAATTTATGTTTGATACCAAAATACAATTCAAAATACATGTAGCTTTTTTTTGTCATCTGCTGTTGTCTCTGGTTTGAAGCAGCCATCTTAATTTTAAAATATTTTAATTTGTCCTTTGGTCTTCAATATTAATTACATGTGTTTTTACAATCTGATATGGAAAAAGAGAAAAGAACATAACAAATAACAAAACGAAAAAGTCAAATTATGAAACAATAGACTTAAAAGAGTAGTTTTTCTTAATTATTTTAAAATGGTCTTTCATTGTCGTTCTAGTCACTTTTACTTTGCTGATGATTTGTTGACGCTGTGAAAGTCTGACTCTGTGTAAATATTTGTGTTTGCCGTAAGTTTTTACATTTATTTGAGTCAAGTTTGAGATGAATTTAATACACTGAAATGATATGGTAAATGTTTAACGCCCTTATCAACACTATTAAAAGGTTATTTAAGAGGCGGAACCTCCGAGTTTAGTGTCCATCTCCGAAAGAACTGAGCCAAATAGGAAATTTGTGTAAAATGCCCTTTCCAAGGTCACAACATCGGACCGAGTTGAGGCTTGACCCCCCCCCCCAAACCCGAGTTTGACGTCCATCTCCGAAAGAACTGAGCCAAAGAGAAATTCCCAAGGATGCAACATCGGACCAAGCGTAGGCTCGAGCCCCTGGACCCGCAATCTCACGATTATGAGTCTGTTAGCCTAATCACTGGGCTACCGAGGCCACTTTAAATACTCTAAAGGGATAAAAAGTGCATTTGTTCTGTATGTTTTTATATATGTAATTTTAGGTGCTATCACTCAAAGATATAATATGAGCAATGACGATCGAAATAAAAGGTTGCTGCTTTTCACCATATTCATTGTGTTGACTCTGTCACAAAATAATCTTTTCCTACTTCTCTATGATTTTGTAATTTTGTTTTAATGCTCTTGTTGTGAAATGAAATATTACGCAAACGCACATAAAATTGGTTCTGTTTCTGTTGTTTTCAAGCTGCAAATGAATTCTACCATGATTTTTAAACTGTTTTTGTCTTGTCACTTTGAAAGCGTTTGAGCCCTTACTTTGAACTTACACTGTATGCTTCCTGGGAAGCCGAGTGTAATTTTGAGTGTTCTAGTGTCTTTAGTTAGTTTTAGTAGAGGTTTTACGGTGCTCACAACTGCATGAGGTCATCTGAGTGCCTGAAGATTAGTGGTGTTACAAGAGAGTAACAAACATGAAAAAGAAGAAGGGGAGATAAGGACGATAGATCGTTGATAGGAAAGAAAAAGCAAACCACACCAGAGCACCCGCCAACCACCCACGTTCTAGTATCTGCTTGGGTAATAATAAATAGATTATGAAGCACATAGCCTAGATGGAGCTTGCTGTTGAGTGGGGAACGCGCAATACCGTATGAATTATTATGCGGTCAGTGGTGGGGTTATTATTATAATAGTTGTTGGTCTTGGTCACAGTAAGGAAGCCTTTGTGAGTGGGTGGTTGGCGGGTGCTCTGGTGTGGTTTGCTCCTTCTTTCCTATCAAACATCTATCGTACTTATCTCCCCTCCTTCTATTTTGTGTTTGTTACTCTCTTGTAACTCCTATATATAACTCTTATATGACCTTATTGTGTTGCAAGTGCCGTAAAACTCTTACTAAAACAAAAACGAAGCCTTTGTCGCTCTTGTGCACCTCCTCTAGGAAAATCCATGGTCAGTCTTGCCACGTGTGAACAGGCTCAGCAGGGGACATCTTTGTTGCCGGCTGTCTCACTGACAGGGGGCACCACCCCCTTTACTGAAGCGTTGTCACTTGCCTATTGGTACAGTAGTCTCCGCCTAAGACCCTACCACTTATGATCCCGGTTTACTTAAGATCCCGCATTTCCTTGCTCCCGAGCACCGGGATCTTAGGCGGAGACTACTGTATTATGAAGGTCTGGACTAGCAAAAAAATAGACCCTGAAAGTCTACAGTTTGGGGTTAATCCACAACAATCTAGTCTTTACGCCATTCCCAAAGCGAGGATATTAACATGTTCCTGTGCACAGTAGAATTAGAACTGTAAATGGGCTGATTTATCAATGTCACGCTCATACTGTGCCAGAACAACATAGGGCGAACTGCTGCTTTTTCTTTCCTCATCCTTACTATCGTCATTTTTCCTCTTTCCTCTACTCTTTTGGTATGTTCTGTCACTCTCCTACTTGTGAACTGGTATTTCCAGGGTTCCTTGAAAGTTGAAGCCGACTTTGTGCTTTGCAGCTAGAGAGGTGAGCAGAGTAAGCCTGATTCTCCGTTTGGACTTTTTTGTTGACACCCGCCCCTTGACGCTCATATGACCTTATGCAGTTGCGAGCGCTGTAAAACCTTACTAAAAATCTATTCCTTTTCTGTTTCTCTATGGCACAAAAAATGTTTTTACAGCTTCTCTCCCCCCCTCCCCCCGAAAAAGAAAAAAAGAAAAGTGAATTCATTAATATTTTATACCCTTTCTCCTTGTACTAATACCTGTTGCTTGTGTGATCATGAAATGTTTGCTGTGCTCCATGAAGACAGACCAGTGAGCAAATAATTAACAAACAAACAAACCAAGCCACAAAAAGAAGACAGAAGTGGCAGAAATACATTTATTATCACAGCATCAATAAAAGGTATTCAACATTTCCACCACTCTTCACTTGCCATCCTAACATTGCAATGAAATAAAAGCACAATAGTTTGCCTTCTTTGATAGTGCAACAATTATCAAAACTTTGATGAATACGTACTTATAGTAGTAAAGTATAGACTCTATAAATTGCTACCTCAGAATTACAAAGTTTTATCTCCTCAGTACCAAGTTTTGAAAAATTTGATGTTATAAAATTTTGGTTTCACAGCTTGTCAAGTTTTTTCGTATGCCATTCTTCGAATATCTTGATAACGAGTCCGAACAATTTTGGTAGAGCAGAGCAGATGGAACATTTGGTTTCTAACCTCACGGTCCTCACAACTCAAAAGGGCCAAAAATATCTGATAGAGCTTTGTAATTCTGAGGTAGCGAAATGACAACATCTGTTTTTGCACAACATGCATAGAAAAGATGTTTTCTTGTTGCATCTATTCTCACATAAAACACTGTACACTCCTTTTACACGTACCGTACATTGTACTCTCATTTTAATAGAACAATTTCCACCCGCCTTTACGTGACAATAATACACCCGTTTATTAATGTTAATATTAATACAGTTTAAATTCATTTTCATATTATACAGTCAAGCATGAGCATAGCGAAAACAACCTACTTGTGCCCCTCGTGATCTTCTTATATATATACAATTGTGAGTGCTGTAAAACTTTTAGCAAACTGAAATATATATTATAATAATAATAAAAATTGCGAAATTGGCGACATACAGAAATCTTTTCATTATGTACAAAGATCGCTATGTGTGCGTGTTCACTTACATGTACTACTAGTAGTGACTAGACTGTTTACCTATTTTAATGGAATAACATTCCCTTGTCAGAACACAGCCCAACTTTAAGTTTAAGACCTCTGTCTTATAACAGTTTTTAAAGTTATGTATGTAGCATAGGCCTATTCACCCATTAAAGCAACATCATAACACAACTTTTTTCAGGTTATCACAATATAATATGAATAAACACCTTTGAAAATCTGTGCAAAAACTGTATGAATTTGCTTTCACCGTAATTTCGTCGTGGAGAAAGTGCTCCACTCTAAAATGAAAAAATGTCTCCCAAACCTCTTTGGTGTGTCCCAAAGAGGTAATAACTAGTAAAGTAAAGTTGTTCCCGCATCCGATCCGGACATTGGGGATTGCCTTGTTAGAGAGATAACTTCCTGGGCCTTCGGCATATTGTGGTAGGGTGGCCAGTTCCTTTCCACCCTGTCTTTTTTTTACTTCCCGAACTCAAAAGTCAGGTACTCATTACTGCTGGGTTCGGTGTAAGCAAATTCCATTGCATATTATTTTCATCAAGGACTGCTTCTCGTTGTTTGAGTAACTTAGAGATCAGCTCTTTGGAGGACACGCGTTCTGTTGTTTTTTTTCCACAATGCTTAAAAAGATGCCACCATGTTTTTGGGGCGCATAAAAAAATAGATAATTTCGTAATTAGTACATTTGAAAAAAAGTTCATGTCTTCTTTACCTGAGTCTCAGAGAGGCTATAAACAGCACCTCTTTGATGAAACCTATAAGGATGGACAACAATATGAATTCTATGAAAATATATACATAAAATTATTTTTTTTTTGTACAGTGGAATCCTGTTATAATATAACGAGAGGGAGGGGACCGGAGAAAAATGTCCGTTATAGCAGGATTCTCGCTATAAGGGATCCAGTAATAAATTCAAGGGAAACTGTAAAGTAGGCCTAATCTATGAGTTTGGAGTTCTGTTTATTTCCTTTTGCTATCTCCCCTGATGATAATTTTGTTTCAACATAACCTCTAGGTCTTACTTGATCAAAAATCGAATCAGGTTTCATTCTCTAGCGCTAGATCTAGAGATGTTGACAGCTCGGCGTTGGCGATCAGAAAGAAAGGGCTCTGGGCTAACTCACCCGCTGCGTTGTCCCCCACCCCATCACACCCTGTGATGTATTCTGTCTGCTTGCGCACGTCACTCATTCGCTCCATCCATTACATTTCTGTGACCTCTCCCCCGCATCGGAGAAGTGAGAGGCATGGTAGTCGTAGATAATCTAGACTAGGCCTAGGCTGGCCTATCACGCGATACGTTCTACTTGTCTGCGCATGCCACGCCCTCCCTACTCAGTCGCTCCGGCCTTCATTGTTGACACACATACATGGGCTCTCCCATTCTTTGTTTCGCTAGATCACCAACAAGTTTCTCAACTGGCGAGGTTTTACTTTATGTATAATTGGTCTATGCTCTGTACAGAGTAGCAGCAACATTCCGACTCGCGTGTTTGTTTGATTGCGCTATAGCAGTATTTTATTTACAAAGGTAAAGAAGAGAAAAAAACTGGGTTTTAGAGTAGTGTCTTTATAACAGACTTCTAGTTTTTTCCGGACTCGTTAAAAGTGGATTCCACCTTACTTGTGTTGTTATTGTGTGTATGCTCGTTCAAATGTGCCACAGCATTGCCTTTTTCGACTTTCTGTCTTTGGTCTGCTGTTGGACATGTGTCCACTATGGTACATCTCACGTAGAAAAGAGTTCTATCTCTGCATTTTATTGATGTTTCAAGTTACAGTTCGTTGCAGGTTATATATATATATATATATATTAAATTATATAAAGGCAAAACACACACACACACATATATATATATATATATATATATATATATATAAAGATAAAGGCAACACACTACGTGAGCATGATGATTAGCATTTCACTCTGACTCTGAAATGACTCTTCTCCCCTGAGATAAATACTCATGAAAAACTTTCTGTCTGCTTTTGCATTTAGAATTTCACAACATTTGAAGTATAATAATATCTCAAAATTATCTAAACTGCAGGCAGAAACTTTGTTATCTCATACGACGACATTCTGCCTCTCTGCTGGGCCGCAGTGTCCCACTCACTCAGAGTTAGCACGGGCACTATGACAGGGAATTGTGTTAATGAAAGCACAATATATATATATTTATATATATATATATATATATATATATATATATATATATATATATATATATATATATGTATATATATATATAGGCCCTATATATATATATAGGCCTATACATGCAATCATCAATCAAGACTAGATCTACAGGTAATGTAAACCCGTATGATGAAAAAAAATCAATAGTCTCACAAAAGATGGAGAAATGTCATATAACGATCCAACAATCTTTTTCTTCAAACCATTCAAGACAGTCCAGAATTCTTTATTTGACGCTGGAAAGAATTGATGATTCTTTGTAGTTTACGACCCAGACACTGGTGCTGGTGCTTAGTTTCTTTTTTAAAGTGAGTAATATCAATTTTCAGAACAATAAGGGCCTGAAAATGAGAGAATTTCAAGTCTTCCAAATGTGTCGATTTAGGTTCTATGGATTTCTCAACCAAAACATATTTTGAGAACATGATGCTAAAAAGTAATCTGGCAGACATAATCTGTACTGTGAATTGAAAGCTGTCTCTTCCCTTTGAATAGAACGGGAAAAAACTTGTAACTGTGCATAACAACAAGAAAAAAAATGCTTGACTAGATCAGTGCCCTTCCTCACCACAGGCTGTGACGTCATAAAAGTCTCAGTCAGGTTCAACTCCCTGTCTCACAGTCCGTGACATCATAAAAGTCTCAGGTTCAACTCCCTGTCTCACAGTCTGTGACGTCATAAAAGTCTCAGTCAGGTTCAACTCCCTGTCTCACAGTCCGTGACGTCATAAAAGTCTCAGGTTCAACACTCTGTCTCACAGTGTCACAGTCTGTGATGTCATAAGTCATAAGACTATAAAGAGTCTTGGGGGGGGTTCAGTTTCATCAGTGCCGTTGACTAAAGAAGCCGTGGAAAGTCAAGCTCATCTTCATGTCTGAGGGAACCGAAGCACGCGCGATCTCCTTGAAGCTGTGCGCGTCCAGAATGACCAGGTAGGAGGAGTAGTCAGTGGTGTTGGCCAGAATTGTACACATCACCACACCTGTGGGGAGTTGGGAGAGATTTTATAAAAAGAGTTCTTGGTTGTGTGTTTGGTAAGTCGGAGCAATAACCTCCACACTTTGACAGATTAGGGCAATCATTTATTATTAAAATGTGAATCGTCTCAAGGTAGAATCAGGTACTCGTTGATTTTTGGGCAAAAGGATTTATTATTACCGTATTAATAATAAATAATATAATCTCAAAATGTATTAATTTTTCTTTTGCTTTTAATGAAAAACAATACCCACCTATCTTTGAATAATAGTCGGGATATAACTGTGATTGTGGGGTTGCATAGGGTCAGAGGTAAAATTAGTGAGAAAATGGCCTCTAAAATTTGGTTTAAAAAAAAAAAGTGTATAAGTCCCCCCCCCCCCCCACTATCAACACCTGTTAGGCCGGACCTTTCAAATTTAACTTCCATCTCCGATAAGATCGACTCAACTGACTGCTTTTTTATGTTATTTATTATCATAAAACTCAAACAAACCTAATTAATGAAAAGAGAGACAACTCACCATCATCCTCCTGTGTGCTGCCTGGTCTGGGCACGAACACTGGTTCACCTGGCTGGTGAGTTGACTCGCACGTCCACTCGGCCACTGACCTCTCTACCGCGTCTAACTTCAGCAACTGTCAGGGCGGCAAAGACAGAGATACATATTATACTTTTATACTGTCGTCGTCATTTAACTTTGTATTATATAACGTCCAAATATTGAAGGAAAAGAAAACAAAAATGAAAATCAAGTATGTTTTAGAAATTGATGAGGGCGCATTGATTGGTCCTCGTCTCATTCTTATTCTCAAAATTGTAATCTAGCATCTGCATTTGTTGTCATTCTTTTATCCAAAAGTTGCCACAAAAAATGGTAAAAGTTGCCATAAAAAAAAGAGTTGCCATTAATTTTCAAGCTTTCAACTCTCTGTGACGACGTATATGATAGCAATATGTTGATAGAGGTAACTTAATCTAAAGCACCAGAATTCCTTGTAGGCCTACTCTGTTTTAAGCATCCAAAATATCATTAGTAGCCTCACAGAGTGTAGTGTTAAAATGTGAAAAAATAAAGGTTTCACAACAGAATGAAATCAAAATTAGAATTGGCCGTTTTAACCATGTGTAATTCAAGAAAAAGTACAGGATATTACATGTAAATTATGAAATCAAACACAAGGGGCTTGCCAGTGTCAGTATTCGGTTTTAGTGGAGACACACTCTAACATAACACATTTATATATATTTTAAAAAAATGTAAGAACTACGTCAAATAAGCATTAGGCTAATGCTATGCATAAAAAATATGAAAACAACACATCAGAGAAAAAAAAAAAATTAACACACTAACAAATTAAAACGAAACAAACAGGGAAAAATAAAAGAGAAACAGCGATATAAATAGTAGGCCTATGTAATGTACGTATTCTTCACATGAAAATAACAAATCATCATGGTGTCAACAAGTGAGAAAGAGACGAAGTGAAGCAGAAGTGAAAATAAACTTTCTTTCTAAAAGTAAAGAGGTTCGGTTTCTTTTTAAAAAAAATTATTCCCCGTTCTTTACATGATTTTTATTCCGTGGCGGTGTTTTTCTTTCTTTCTTTCTTTTCTGTTTTGTTTTGAAAAATGCAAAAATCGCGACCGTGATTCACGGACCAAAAAAAGCCAAAAATTGCGTTTGCGACAAACGCAGATGCTAAAGTGCAGGGTTTTAACAAATAAAGATATTTTGTACAAAACAGGTGACATTCATTACCAGATTGTGTCCATGTGTTAGCATTTTAGCGTTTGAAATCCACAGCCTGCACTGTATGCTTCACCGGAAACCAAGAATGTTTCTGAGGGTTCAAGGTCTGCTCAGGTAAAATTAATATTTGTAATATAAAGTGTATGACGAATGCTGTAGAGCATGGTCATCATAAAAAATAAAGAATAAAAGGTGTGTTATTATCATTATTCATGTCCATCAGAAGATCATCCTTTTCTTAACCCTATCCTTCACCCCTGAAGTCATTTTGCACGCCCCGGGTTGTATTCTTCACATTTTAGAATACTTCTAGTACGAAGATCTCTTTGAAACTTTCAGTATTTCTCAAAAATTCATTTTGACAGACTGCTATGCAAAGCTTATGGATCGGATTAACGAGTAAATTTCCTTTTTGGAAAGTGGTGGCACAGAATTCCCCACATTGCATGGATACGATAGTAAAACACGACGTATACGGATAGGGTTAATGTTCTAACCAAACCTCATCTATACCAGGTATTTTGATCAGGAACAAAGTACTTTGTTATCAAAATAATCTACACTGTGTCTAGTAGAGCAATTTAAGCTTCAACAAAAAAAAATAAAATAACAACAACAACATCACTACCATCAACAACAACAGCAACAACATCACCACCAACAACAACAGCAACAACAACAACAGTGACAACAACAGCAACAACAACAACAAATGAACTGACCCATCATCAACAACAACAGCAATAACACCACCACCACCACCACCACCAACAACAACAAAAACAACAACGATGACGACAACAACAACAACAAATGAACTGACCCGTCTATCGGAAGCGAAAATGGTAGTGCCGTATGTGTATCTGAATTTTATTCCAGCGTAGTCATCGTTGATGCGGGGCAGATCAAAACTGTAGGAGTCTGAATCAAATGTTTTTGGTTTTAGTAGGTGTTTTACGGCACTCGTAACTGCATAAGGTTATATGAGCGCCAAGGGGGGGATGTCAACAGAGAAATCCTTACAGGGAATCAGGCTTACTCTGCTCACCTCTCTATAGCTTCAACAGCACAAAGTCTGCTTCGACTATCAAGGCACCCCTGAAGTAGCGGGTCACAAGAGTGACAAACATACAATAGAAGTAGAGGAAAATGATGATAGTTAGGATTAGGAAAGAAAAAGCAGCAGTTCCCTGCTGCAGTTCAGGCACAGTTATAAGCATGACATTGATGAATCAGCCCATTTACAATTACAATTACAGTGTATAGGAACACGAGATGTTAATGTCCCCCCCCCCCCTTTGGGAATGGTCTAAAGACACTTCAGTCTGTAACACCGCCTGGGGGTCAATCAAATGTTGATGGCATTAGACAAGATCGGGGGGAGGGGGGGGGGGGGGGTGGTGAGAAAAAGTAAAAAGAGGTGAGATAACGTTAGCCCTACTACTACTACGACTATTTCATTTTGCCATCTTGTAGAAGGGACTTTTAATTTCTTTTCCTAAAATCTACAATAGGTTACCCGGTAGCAAGCATATGACAGTAAAAAGTTGTATTTTATTTGCGAGAGCGATCTCTTACTCTTATTCAATTTTTATCAAGGATTATCGCAGGATGAACCCAAATCATTTAAATTTTATCTCAAATGTACCCTTCATAAATGTTCATTTTAAAAACGAGTTCTCATCCGTCAGTCGTAAATCAAAATGGACAGAGAGACTCATCTACTGGTGGTTGTTTGGCGATTGGTGTTGCAACGCGGTAGAATCAGGCGCTTATCAATTTTTGGGACCATAAAGCTATTACTATCATCTTAGCTTGTTCAATCATGTTGCTTTTGAGGGAAAAAACCCCCAACCTATCTATGTTGAATAGAAGTTGAGATATTTGCTACTGGAGGGGGAGGGGGGGGGGGGATGTCGCCTCTGTTGGGCACAAAATTAGAGACAAAATGGCCGCCAAAGTTTGGTGACTTCCAAAGCTTGACATCCTTGGAAACTGCAAATTTACATTTATTCTTGTGCATTTGATCAACCTTTTTCTATAAAATCTACTCAAATAATTGTTCTTTTGAAAGGACATATCGGGTAGAAAATGTCAATTCCTAAAATTCCTTCGATTTCATTATTCTGCAAGCACCTGATTTTCTCGTGATGCCACGTACTCATGTAATGTTAATGGTACGGAGGAGGGGGGGGGGGGAGTAGAAGGATGGTGGTGTTGCACGTACCGTCAAACATTTTCTCTCGAGTCACATCCAGAGTATCTGTGGTCCCCTCTCTTAGCACAGCTGTGGCGCATGAGTCCGGCAGCTTCACCAAATTCTCTCCTGGCTTAGCCTGAGGCAGGAAAAAAAAAGATGAAGGTGAGTTATGATATGTTAAGCAAAATTTTAAGTAATTTTAAATTGAATCTACATCATGTATATTATTTTACCATATCATCGTTTCTGGTAAAATGGTTAAGCTCAGATATAAAAAATTCGTGCATCACAAAAAGATTTCCTGGTCCCCTCCCCCTCCCTCCGATCTCGCTATGTGCATTCAAGAAAGCTTGTACTACAAGGGATAGAATGTTAGGAGTACGCCATTGGCCTATATTTATAGTAGCAGCCATCTTGTTTGTGTCATAAAATAGTGTTCTTCATTCTGACAAAAGACAAAAGAAGTTCCAGACCTACTGTCTCACAGTCTGATCTGAAAAAAAAAAGTGGAGTAAAAAAAGAAAGCTTTTTATTTTTATTTTAGCAAAGTGTTATGATAATGCTCATTATATTATGTATGTTAAAGAATAGGTCAAACAAGATGGCTGTTACTAAAAATATCAGCCAATGGTGTACTCTTAACATTCTCGAACTATCCGCTTGTGCTTGTACTAACCCCAGCGAGACTGAGCGGCAAAACAAATCTGGCGTAGTTGGCTTCTGGCAGCTGAGAGGAGTTGTCGGAATTGATCGAGTTGATGATCTGCTCAATGTACGCAGACCGGATGATCTCGCTCGAGTTGTAGAGACATATGTCGCAGATCACGTGATCCGCTTCCTCGTAGCAGTTGATGAAGTGGAACACGAAGCCATGGGGGGCCAGGTAAGTGATGGGGATTTTTTCCCCCGTCTTTTTGCTCACAAGGATGAACGACATCTGAAATGATGTAATATTTTATGCGAAAGGAATTGTTTTGTTGGAGGTTTTATTCACCATGCTTTGTTTTTGTTTTGGGACTTATTGAAATTTTTGATCACTTCTAAACACATATCATGTTATTTACACAAGTCTATAGTTACATATAAAAAAAGAATTGTAATTTTGAATGTTTTACACCCCATCAGCACAATCAATTAAGATAAGATAAGATATATCTTTTTTATCCAGATCCTGGCACATTGGTTTGGTGTTTCACCACGTGTATACACA